TATTGGTTTATTTGTTAATTGGCATATTGGTTTTTTTGAGACAGGGTCTCACTATGTCGCCTTCGCTGGCCTGGGACTTGCTATGTAGACTAGGCTGGCCTAGAACTCACAGAGATTCACTTGACCCTGCCTCCTGAATGCTGAAATTAAAAATATGCACCACCACATCAGGCTTGAATTTCTTTTTTTCTGTTAAAACATATACTTAGTTCCCATATCACCAACCATAGACTATGTCATGATTGTGAGTTGTTAAACTTTATCTCTCCTCAGGAAAACAATAACTTGTGTGATTATGGAATCCTGTGGAGTTTTCAGTCTTTGGTCATCACATTAAGAATTCTTCACCTGGCGTGGTGGTGCACGCCTTTAATCCCAGCACTCAGGAGGCAGAGCGGATCTCTGTGAGTTCAAGTCCAGCCTGGTCTACATAGTGAGTTCCAGGACAGCTGGGGCTATAAGGAGACCCTGGCTCAAAAAGAACCCCCCCCCCAAAAAGAATTCTTCAAGACTAGACATATAGCTCAGCGTTAGAGTGTTTGCCTAACATGTGTAGCCCTGCAAAAAGAAAGTATAAAAATCATCTCAATTAAAAAAGAATATGAGCTCCGGGCATGGTGGCACACACCTTTAATCCCAGCACTGGGGAGGCAGAGACAGGTGAATCCTCTGTGAGTTAGAGGCCAACCTGGTCTGCAGAGTGAGTTCCAGGCAGCTGGAGCTACAGGGAGACCCTGTCTCAAAAAGACCAAAAAAAAAAAAAAGAATATGAAATATAACCATGTGTGGTAGTATATGACTATAATCCTGGCACTCAAGAAGTTGAGGCAAGAGGATCATAAATTCAAGGCCAACCTGGGCTACATAAGAAGACCTTGTTTCAAAAAACATGAACATTGTAGAAGTCATTCATCTTCTTGGTTAGCTTTATTCATAGGTTTTTTTGGGGGTTTTTTTTGGAAGCTATTGCAAATGGGATATTTTTCCTAAATTTCTTTCATGAGAAGTTCATTATATATAGAAGAACTTTTGATTATTTTTCTGGTAGAGTCTTTAGGATCTTCTAAGTATTGAATCATATAGTCTGCAAATAGGGCTGATTTGACTTTTTCCCTATTTGTAGCTCTTTTATTCTTACTCTAGTCTCTGAACTTGCTAATACTTTGGGGACTATACTGAATAAGAATGGAGAAAGTGGGTGCCCTTGTCTTGTTCCACACTGAGAGGAAATACTCTTACTTTTCCCCTATTTAGCTACAGTTCTGTGATATATATACCCTTTATTATGATGAAATATGTTCTTTTTGTTGTGGTTCATGTGTTTGAACAGTTGGTCCCCAGCGGTGGCGATGCTGTTTGGAAAGATTGTGGAACCTTTAGGAGGTGGAAACTTATTGGAGGAAGTGTGTCACTGAGGGCATGCCTTGGGGTTTTATAGCCCAACCTCACTTCCTGTTCACTTTCCACTTCCTGTGGATGCAATGTGACCAGCTATCTCCTGCTCATGCTGTCATGATTTCCCCACCATGATGGACTGTATCCCCTTGAATTGTAAGCTAAAATAAATCCTTCTTCCCTTATATTGCTTCTTGTCAAGTATTTTGTCACAAGAAAAGTAACGAACATTCCTAGTTTTGAGATGATCATGTGATATCTGTCCTTAAATCTGCTCGAATGCTATATTACATTTGTTGATTTATATTGAATCAACCTTGCCTCTGTGGGGTAAAATCAACTTGGTCAAGACATAAAATCTTCTTAATGTGTTCCTGAATTTTGTTTATAAGTACTCCATTGAGAATTGTGGTGCCTGTGTTTATCAGGGAACTTGATCTATAGTTAGAAGCTCCTGCACAGCAAACAAAACAATCACCAGAATGAAGAGAAGCTCTTTACCAACTATATAGCAGGTAGGGGGTTAACATTTAGAATATATAAAGAACTACAAAAATTAAACACTAAAACCTCCACAAATCTTCTAGTCAGTAAATGTGCTAATCAATCAATAGACAATTCTCAAGAGAAGCACCAAAGGACCCTAAGTTCTACCACAGAGACACTTGGACATCTGTGCTTCTTGCTGCACTATTCATATTAGATAAGAAATGGAATGAGCTTAAATTGTACATATACACTTCTACTTCCACACAGAAAAAATGAAAGTACGACATTTTCAGGAAGATGGATGTAACTGCAAATCATTAATTTGTGATATAATTCAGACTCATTGATTTTAATTGTGTATATATAAGTGTGTGTGTGTGTGTGTTTGTGATGAAAGGCAACCACAGAGGGGAAGAAGAGAACCTAAGAGATGAGGAAGAGGGGAAGAAAGAAAAAGGGAGGAGGCAATGGAATACCTGTGACATGGGAGTAGAGGAGATGTGGGTGCGAGAGTGGTAGGAAAGAGAAGTAGACCGGCAAGAGAAGGTAGGGAGAAGGGCATGAGTAAGAACAAAGTATGTGGAGCTAGGAGCATGGTAGCTCCATTGGTAGAATGCTTGAAGTCCCTGGGTTCAGCCTCAGCACCAAAAACAGAAAGGGTAGCTCATCCCTATAATTCAAGCAATCAGGAGCTGGAGGCAGATGGATCAGAAGTTCAAGGATATTCTTAGCTACATAGTTCAAGGATACACTGGGCTACATGAGACTCTGTCTCAATAAAAGAACAATTATATGCGAATATGTCATAATAAAACCCATTAGTTTGTATGGTAGTCTAAAAATTCATTTTAAAAATAAAGAAGGAGGCCAGGCGTGGTGGTGCACACCTTTAATCCCAGCACTCAGGAGGCAGAGGCCCGTGGATCTCTGTGAGTTCAAGGCCAGCCTGGTCTACATAGTGAGTTCCAGGACAGCTGGGGCTACAGGGAGACCCTGTCTCAAAAAGACTAAAAAAAGGAAAGAAGGAAGACAGAAATGAAGGTCTTTACAGCCCTACAAGAAGTTCTTAAAGCACAAAGAGCAAAACCCATAAAATTAATATGTCATAAAAATTCTGATAAAGATTTATAAACGTAAATACTTTGACTCAGATATAGTAAAAATTACAGTAAAAACCATAAGCCACATGTTATGGAAAACTTGAAATTAAGATCTTTGGGAACGGCTGGGTGTGGTGGACCATGCCTTTAGTCCCAGCACTTGGGAGGCAGAGGCAGGTGGATCGCTGTGAGTTCAAGGCCAGCCTGGTCTACATACTGAGTTTCAGGACAGCGGGGGCTACAGGGAAAACCTGTCTCAAAAAGACAAAAAAAAAAAAAAAATCTTTGGAAACAAATTCTGTGATAACAAAGAAAGAGAAAGTGAAAGTATATTGATTAAATCCCATTCCAACAGATGTAGTTAAGTGTCTCCTATTATGGACATAAATTTTATTGCCAATCTGTTGCCATTACAAACAATGCTCTTAATGCCAGTTAAGTATTCATTCCATGCGGGTGTGGTGGTGCATGCCTTTAATCCCAGCACTCGGGAGGCAGAGGCAAGGCCAGCCTGGTCTACATAGTGAGTTCCAGGACAGCTGGGGCTACAGGGTGACCCTGTCTCAAAAAGATCAAAAAAAAGAGAATTCGTTCCTAATCCCTAGGTCATGAAGATATTCTCCAATATTATTAACTAACTACTTGAAGCTTTGTTTCATTTTTCACGTTTAAACCTATAGAAGAATCCTGTGAATGGAGATGTAAGAGTTAAATATAGTTTTCTTCCTGTATGGATACCCACTTAACTCAGATAAAACCATCCTTTCCCCACTGCTCTGTGGAGTTACCTTTGTCAGGGTTCTACCCTTTTAAATTCAACTTTTCAGTCACCTTATGCTTTCTTTCATAAATAACATGTAAAGTTGCTTTTTTGTTTTGTTTTATAAATATGGTGTGCGTGTGATGTATGCATGCATGTACACATGTTATCTGTGCATGTGAGGGCCAGACTGAATAGCAAGTGTCTTCCTCAATTGCCCTCCACCTCTTTTTTTTTGGTCTTTTTGAGACAGGGTCTCCCTGTAGCCCCAGCTGTCCTGGAACTCACTATGTAGACCAGGCTGGCCTTGAACTCACAGAGATCTGCCTGCCTCTGCCTCCTGAATGCTGGGATTAAAGGAATGTGCTACCATGCCCGACTACTTTTAATCCTTTTGATAACCTAAAATTTAGCCAAGCAGTGTGGTACACATCCATTGTCTCAGTACTAGGGAGGCTGAGTCAGGAAGATCTCTTGAGCTCAAGAGGTACACAGCAGCCTGGGCAACATAGTAAGATCCTCTCTCTTCCAAAAAAACAAGTACACTAACTTTACAATTATACTCTATCAAAAACACCTTATAATTTTCTCAAATTCTATCAAGCATGTTTAAGAGTCTTAAAAAAATTCTCAATCACTCTAGCCGGGTGTGGTGGCGCATGCCTTTAATCCCAGCACTCGAGAGGCAGAGGCAGGCGGATCTCTGTGAGTTCAAGGCTAGCCTGGTCTACATAGTGAGTTCCAGGACAGCTGGGGCTACAGGGAGACCCAGTCTCAAAAAGACAAAAAAAAATTTTCCTAAACTACTCTAAATAAAAAGACTTTAGAATACTTAAGTTCAGACTCTCTAATTGTTGGCTTTGGGCGGGGGTAATTCTTAACTTATATACATTATATAATTTCCAGTTCCTTTTAATGATACACAATAGTCATTTTACTGTTTACACAGATTATTTTTCTTTGAATTTGTATCTCCCTTTCTTTCTTTTATGAGAATAATGTGATAAACATATGCAATCAATAAACTACCATTAATAGAAAGTTATATATATAATTAGTTTGTTATAAATATAGTCTTTTTATGCTTAATAAATTATTCCTTCTGGAATAAGACAGTTTTATTACAATGCATTTCTAATTTTGACATCTTTATTGTAATTTTTAATATCAATATCTGTTTTGTAGGTTCAAAGGCAAAAAACATGAAAAAATAGAGTTATGATCTTGAATTGATATAAGAGCCATCAGGAAATAAGATGTCTGAAGAAGAGGATACTTCAGAGCTGGAAGGAATCACTAGATCCCAGTCAGTGGAGGAGCCTGAATTTATTGCAGAAACATCAGATTCATCAAATAAAGACACTTCTTACCTGGAAAGGAAACATTTCACCCAATTTGATGAAACATATCCTTCAAAGGATACAGCTTCCTTTGGAAACAATTTTGGCAGAAATGAAGAGAAAAGGGAAAAAATCCAGTTTTCTGACACAAGAATTACAGATGCCAGCCCACTGTCAAAACAAGAAGCTTCCCAAAGTTCCATGTCATTAATTACTAAGATGACTACAGACTATCAAACAGCTAAATTCCCACCTCAAGAGAATGGAGGAAGAGTTAGTTCACAAAACTCTGAAGAAAAGCAGAAAGAATTGGACTTAGAGTCAGATAACGCCACAGTTCATCTTGAGGCCAAAGGTTTACAACAATTTCCTGTGGACATTTTAAAAGTAAAATATGTTAAATATCTCTATTTAGATAAAAATCAAATAAAAACTTTTCAAGGAGCAGATCCAGGGGATCTGCTAGGACTTGAAATTCTGTCCTTGGAAGAAAATGAATTACCATCAATTCCATTGGAAATTCAGCTGTTTTACAATTTAAGGACATTGAATGTCAGTCACAACCAAATATCACAGATACCTAAAGAAATCTTACAACTTGGGAGTATGCGAGAACTCTTTTTAAATAATAATTTTATTGAAAAATTTCCTTCTGGCTTAGAAAGTCTTAGAAACTTGGAAATTTTAAGTTTGGGAAATAATATGTTGACTTATATCCCAGATTCATTGTCTAGTTTGAAAAACCTGAGTGTTCTTAATCTGGAATATAACAAATTAACAATATTTTCTAAATCTCTGTGCTTCCTTCCAAAATTAACTTCACTAAATCTTACTGGAAACTTGATAGGCAGTTTGCCAAAAGAAATTAGAGAACTTAAAAATTTAGAAAACTTTTTAATGGATCACAATAAACTTACTTTTTTGGCTGTGGAAATTTTTCAGTTATCCAAAATAAAAGAACTCCATCTGGCTGACAATAAATTGGAAGCTATTTCACACAAAATTGAGAATTTCAGAGAACTTAGGCTTCTTAATCTTGATAAAAATTTATTGAAAGACATACCAGATAAAATTTCCCGGTGTGTAATGTTAGAAAGCCTTAGCCTTAGTGACAATAAATTAGAAGAACTTCCTAAGAAGATTCATAAGCTTAAACATTTAAGAAAACTCCATGTAAACAGAAATAAAATGGTGAGAATATCGGGAGAAATCTCACATCTTAGTAATATATGTAGCCTGGAATTTTCAGGAAATCTGATTGCACATGTTCCTATTGAAATAAAAAACTGCAGAAAAATAACTAGAGTTCAATTGAATTATAATAAAATAATGTATTTTCCAGTGGGATTGTGTGCTTTAGAGTTACTCAATTATGTGAGTTTTAATGCAAATTATATTTCAGAAATACCTGTGGATATATCTTTCTGTAAGCAACTGCTTCATTTAGAGTTGAATAAAAACAAACTCCTGACATTTTCGGAGTACCTCTGTTCTCTCACTAATCTTAAATACCTGGATCTTGGTGAAAACCAAATAAAGAAAATTCCGCCATCTATTTATGAAATGGTATCCCTCCATGTACTTATTTTGTCTGGTAATAAGTTTGAAACTTTCCCAAGAGAACTATGTGCTTTAAGAAATCTGCAAGTGCTTGATCTCTCTCAAAACCAATTACAGAAAATACCTTCAGAAATATGCCATTTAAAAGGAATTCAGAAATTAAATTTCTCAAATAATCAGTTTATATATTTTCCTATTGAACTGTGTCAACTTCAGTCACTGGAAGAGCTGAATATAAGTCAGACCAATGGGAAAAAGGTAAGAGTAATATTTTGGGCAATGGAGGAAAGGGAGACTACAGGGATCTGAACATGAGGTGCAATGTGTGTGCAAGTGCTTGTTATGTGTATTTGTGTTCTAAGCAGATAGAAGACCATGTTTGGAAAGAACACTCTTCCAAACCAGAACCTAGTTTACGAATACACTTCTCAACACAAAGGCTTTATAGGAAAATATTTTATTCAAATTTAATGTGAAAGAAGGCTGACAAACTTGCAGGGTTTTCCTATTTGGTTAATTATAAGAAGATTTTTTTAATGTTATTTATTCTTATTTTATGTATATGAGTGTTTTGCCTGCCTGTATGTAAGTGCACCTGTGTGTGCAATGCCTACAGAGGTCAGAGTAGGGTGTTGGATTCCTTGGAACTGGAGTTACAGACAGTTGTTAGCTGCCATTTGGGTGCTGGGGACCAAATCCTGGTCCTCTGCAAGAGCAACCAGTGTTCTTAACTGCTGGGCCATCTGTCCAGCCCCAGATATTTTTTATCATATGTATGTGATGTATGTATTCATTCATGTATGCATGTGTGTGTGTGCATGCATGCAGAAGACAGGGGTGGGTGTAGTGTCTTTTTTGTTGTTGTTGTCTTTTTGAGACAGGGTCTCCCTGTAGCCCCAGCTGTCCTGGAACTCACTGTGTAGACCAGGCTGGCCACGAACTCACAGAGATCCACCTGCCTCTGCCTCTCGAGTGCTGGGATTAAAGGCATGGTAGTGTCATTTTTAATTGTTCACCATCTTATTTTTTGAGACATGGTCTCCCACTGAACCTGGAGCTCACTGATTGGCTAGACTGGCTGGCCAATAATCCTGTTTCCACCCTCAACACCCCAGCACAAGGGTTACATGTGTGGGCCCAGTTTTTATGTGGGTGCTGAGGATCCAAACCCAGCTCTTCATTCTTGCAGGCACTTTATTGACTGAAACATCTGCCTGCCCTAGTATAAGAAGTTTTAAAGTTTCAAATATCATATAAACACATTGTTGAGCTGGAAATGTAGCTCAGTGGTAAAACACTTGCCTGATGTATGCGTGACTCTGGGTTTGATCTCCACTCCCCAAAACACATTGTTGAAAATTAGAAAACTGAGAAATTAAGAATTATTTTACAAGCATACTGTCATAATAAAACTATTGGTACATATTGCTTTCTTGTGCTTTTAGTCTCTTTTCTTACATAGTTTTATAAGCAATAAGAAAAAGACTATAAGCCCGGCGGGTGGCGCACGGCTTTAATCCCAGCACTCGGGAGGCAGAGGCAGGCGGATCGCTATGAGTTCAAGGCCAGCCTGGTATTCCTTGGCTACATAGTGAATTCGAGACCAGCCTGGGCTAAAAAAAAAAAAAAAAAAAAAAAAAAAAAAAAAAGAAAGAAAAAAAGAAAAAGACTATAAACTCAAATTTAAATTTTATTCCTGTTAAGCATTTAGAATAGTAATTTTCTTTATAATAATATAATGAATTTCTTCATAGGTATATTCAGGTTGTTTTCTTTGGAAATTCCTCCTGAAAAATTGGTAAATTATTTATTTATTTACTTATTTATCTGTTTACTTTGTTTATTGTGGTGCTGGGGAATCAAACCCAGGTCTCACAAATGGTTGGTAAATGTTCTACTACTAAATTATACCTCAAGCCCTGGAAATACTTTTTTGTCTTTTGAGGAAGGGTCTCTCTGTAGCCCCAGATAACCTGGAACTCACCATAGACCAGGCTGGCTTCAATCTCACAGGGATCTACTAGTCTCCTGAGTGATGAGATTAAAGGCATGCACCATTGACTATATGGAAACAGTCCTACAGACTCCTGGGACTCTTCTCATATGAACTTACAACAATGGTGTCAGCATGCACAAGACCCATGCAAACTCAAGCAGACAAAAACCCAGCATAGAACTGTGAAAATGAGCAGCAGGCCCCAATCTTAGTCGAAGAATTATTGGCAGCTGATTACTGCTGGGTGAGGAAGAGCTGATCTTCTTAAAGAGAGGGACTCTAGATAGGCTGACTAGATCCCAGTGGATGAACTTGCACTGAGGGACATCTGGGGACACCAACTTTACATGATAAGCCTTAACATAAATGATGGATTGTATGAACTCCAGTGAGGGGACTATGGCAGGGTGCCAAAGGGGAAGAGGTTAGTATAAAGATGATTTTCTGTATGAAATGCACAAAAATTCAATTAAAAAATTTAAAAATAATAATTTTTTAAAAAAGAAAAAAAACTGTTGTATGAAATGTACAAAAGCTCAATAAAATTTTTTTAATTAAAAAAAAGGCACCACCAACACCTGACTGGAAATACTTTTTAAAAATTAAAAAAATTTTGATTTATCCTAAGATCTCAATAATGACAACTATTGTTGGACTATCTTTAATACTAGACTGTTATCTAAAGCACTTCTAGCCCCCTAAAAGACACTTTTTGGTGCTGCAATATTGTCAATATAGTCATTCGCTAATTTATTGACTAATTTACCATACCCTGACTCCTTCCTCCTGTATCTTAATTGCGATTGTCACTAGAGTATGTCCCTAACTTTCTCTTTTTCACTAACTCCTTCTTTGACCTTATCCTCCCTGATGTCACATGCATAATTCCAGAATGTATATAACTAAAATTATCTCAACTAGCACTCTAGTTCCACAGTTGGCAATTTTTCCTGGAATTTCTAATGTCACTTTCTCTATCACAGCCCATGTTTATCATTTGTTTCATGCCTAGATTACTCCAGAGACCCCCTGACTATGCTCTCTGACTTAGTCTTCTCCAGTTTAGCAGGTCTTGTCAAACTTATCAGACTTTATTCCAGGGAACTGTACTTTTTTATTTATTTATTTATTGTTTGTTTGTTTTGTTTTTTATAGAAAGGGCCTCAGTCTGTAGCCCTGGCTGGCCTAGGACTTGCTATATAAACCAGGCTGGTCTCGAGCTCATAGAAATCCACCTGCCTCTGTCTCCCGAATGGTGGGTTAAAGGCATGTGCTATCAAGCCTGGCCTAGGTAACTATTCTTAATGTGTTGTATTTGGCATGGTGGTACATGCCCATAATCCTAGTACTCAGGAGGGTGAGGTAGGAGGACTGTGAGTGCAAGGTCAACCTGGACTACAGAGTTAGATTATGTCCAGGTAAAGAAGGAAGGAGGAAAGGAAGGAAGGAAGGAAGGAAGGAAGGAAGGAAGGAAGGAAGACAAGGAAGAAGAGGGGGAAGGAAGGAGGAAGGGGGGAGGAAGGAAGGAGGAGGGAGGGAGGGGGAAGGAAGGAAGGAAGGAAGGAGGAAGGAAGGAGGAAGGAAGGAAGGAAGAAGGAAGGAAGAAAGGAAGGAAGGAAGGAAAAGGAAGCAAAGAGGGAATTCAGGATGCTTGTCTATTGCCTACTCAAGTTGCCAGAGGACTCAGTTACATCTTTGCAGCATCATTTCACAAGTCTCCAAGGTGGAAAAAAATTATTTACAAGAATTCTTCTTGGGGCTGGAGAGATGGCTCAGTGGTTAAGAACACTGACTGTTCTTGCAGAAGACCCAGGTTTGTATCCTAGCACCCACATGGCAGCTAACAATTGTCCATAACTCCAGTTCCAGGGGATCCAACAGTCTCTTCTGTCCTCCGCGGGCATTACACGACGTGGGTGTACTTACCTACATGCAGGCAATACACACATACACATAAAATAAAATTAAAAAAAAAAAAGAATTCTTCTCAAGGGTGTGGTGGAGCATGCTTTTAATCCCAGCACTTAAGAGGCAGAGGCAGGCAGATTTCTGTGAGTTTGAGGCCAGCCTGGTCTACATAGTGAGTTCCAGGTCAGCTGGGCCTCAGGGAGACCCTGTCTGAAAAAAACCAAAAAATAATAAAAAATAAAATAAAAAGAATTCTTCTCAAGAAGAATATCCTATTTGGTTGAAAACACGCCTTTGATGAAGGAGGGATGAAATGCTTGAAGAACTATTTTACTTAACAATTGATCATTAACCAGCCATCTAAATAAGATGAATCAGGTTAATCACAGAGCTTCTATTTGGCAAAGTGAAGGATAGCCAGCAGAAATCTTCTTTCAACAGTAATTCCATTGCTACACAGTTAACTCTCAGATACTTTCTCTGGTAAATGTTGAACAAGTAGTTAAATAATATTTGTTTGAAGGCAATTCAAATGATGGGCCTGCCCATGTAAGTCGATCTAACTCCTACTACATAGGGTTAGCTCTCAGTCTTACATAGACTGATTCCTTACTCACCCAAGTATACTCTAAACTTCTGATCACTTCTCGGTACTGGTCACCTTCTCACTAGCCATATTTATGCATGATGTTTATCTTGCTTTAAGTAACATAACATCATTACATCTGTTCTTGGTGGGGGGGGCATATATGTGTGTGCATATGTATGAAGGTGGGGGATACAAGCCCGAGTATGCATAGGTATGAGGGTGGGGGTTATATGCCTGTGTGCGCATAGGTATGAAGGTGGGTGTATCTTCTTCTGTTGTTCTCTATGCTGATAAGAGCCAGAAGAAATTGTGACTGAGTAATTGGAAAGACTTCAGGGAGGAAAAGAAGCTAAAGCAGCATCAGCTCTAGGGAGAAAAGGGGTAAGCCTTGGCAATGGATGCCTAGTGTCAGGAGAGTGAAGAAAGTGGGCCTCAAGCAACAGGGCTGAACAGGTAGCACTGATCAGATTGTGGAGGTACTTGGATGCTACCCAAGAGCTTGAGGATTTTTAGGACATGGAGTCACAAAGAATCTGTGACAAAATGAAAATATCTCTTTTCTTTCTTTGTTCTTGAATATCTCTTTTTTTAGACAATGACTGAAAGAAAATTCTATCCTTTGATCTTAGAAAAAATTGTAGTCATACAAATATTTATGGATTTATAAAAGCATAAATATTTATTTAATCTTTGTTGCAGTTAACAAGACTTCCAGAAGAGCTGTCTAATATGACTCAACTTAAAACACTTGATATTTCAAATAATGTAATCAGAGAGATTCCAAGAAACATAGGGGAGCTGAGAAGGCTAGTTGCTTTACATGCATACAACAATGAAATAACTTCTCTTCCACCATCTTTTCTATCTTTAAAAGTTCTCCAGCACCTAGACCTTAGAGGTAAGTGTCAGACTTAATGATTAAAGTAGAATCAATAAGTATATTAATATCTGAGCTGCAAATTTTGGTGACAGGATAAAGAATGGGAAACAATTGACTGTATTAAGTGGGCATCAGAGGTAGAGGAGCACACAGATCCATTTCTTAGGTACATAAAATGAGAGCGAAGTTGAAGACCCAGTTTCTTCCCTGAAAGAGCTCAATCTTGATTATGATGGTGAGTATACTTTCTCTGCACATACCCAGTCATTTAGTATTTCTTTGCTTTCTGACTCTGACCTTGCCCTTCCCTCTCTATACCTGCCTGTGCAACTTCAGATTGTGAAAGCTTATACAGACTTTCACAAAGTTAACTTGTCAAAATCAGAACAAAATAATAATGATATAAAAGAGAAAGTAAATGACTCACTCGAAAGATATCAGAAAAGGGATTGGAGAGAGGCTCAGTAGTTAAGAGCATTGACTGCTCTGTCAGAGGACCTGGGTTCGATTCCCAGCACCCATAAGGCAGTCAACAACCATCTGTAACTCTAGTTCCAGGGGATCTGATGCCCTTTTCTGACCTTCACAGGCATTACACAACACAGGCGGGTGCACTTACATACATTTAGGCAATATACTCATACACATAAAATAAACATAAGTAAAATATAAAAGAAGATCAGAAAAGATTCCCCAAAGTAGAAGAAATACTTAGTATTTTTCATAACAGTTTCCAGTATAAAATATTTCAAAACTTAGAGAAAATAATAAACACTTATATACCTACATCTAAATACAGGGTACTAACATTTTATAATATTAATATTTTGTCAATGCTTTTGAGATATCTTGTCATTAAAAGATAAGATTTCAAATTTTGTTTGTACTTCTTTCCTCAATCTGGAAGTAACCACTATAGTGAAACTGCTATATAACTTTTTAAAATCCGTATTTTTACGCTTCTGTCTCTCCATAAAAAGTAGTACTATTTTGAGTTTTTAGTATTATTTATTTGTATCAGACTGTAAGATCATTCTGTAAGTTGCATTTTACCATCATTATAGTTTTAAAATCAATCCATTTTCATATGTGTGAGGTCTAGTCCTCTCCTTTTAAATGATGTAGAATCGTCAACTGAATGATTAAATAATAATCAATCTGTTATCATGCTGGATAGATCATGAGGTTGTTTCTAACTGTTCCTGTTACAAATGCCCTTATGTACATTCCTGGTATAATCTGCTTGAGTGTCTCTGGGGCCTAAAGCTATTAAACAGAGTTGTTGGATCGAAGTTTATGTATGTCTTCAACTTCCTCAGATCCTGACAGGAAGTTGAAGGTCCTTGGGTATTTTACCAAGGTAAACGTCCTTGGGTATTTTACCAAGACAATACAGTTATTGAATAGTTCCCGTCTCTATAATTTTACAGAAGTATAATCTGCTTGAGTGTCTCTGGGGCCTAAAGCTATTAAACAGAGTTGTTGGATCGAAGTTTATGTATGTCTTCAACTTCCTCAGATCCTGACAGGAAGTTGAAGGTCCTTGGGTATTTTACCAAGGTAAACGTCCTTGGGTATTTTACCAAGACAATACAGTTATGGAATAGTTCCCGTCTCTATAATTTTACAGAAAAGTGTAGTTCATTGTTTTTTTTTTTTCTGATAGGAAATAATCTGACAGCTCTGCCTAGTGCCATCTATAGTCTTTTTTCCCTGAAGGAGATAAATTTTGATGACAACCCTTTGCTAAGACCTCCAATGGAAATCTGTAAAGGAAAACAGTTGTATACTATTGCACACTATCTACAAAGGGCAGATGAAAGAGATGGTGGGTAATGAGTGATTAGCTGCTTTGTGTGTAATTTCTGTATCATCTATAAGATATAAAATAACTTGCTTTGATTGGAGCCTTTAATCGACACAGACATTAGATATTTATCACCTTTCCCTTTCTGAAGACTAGTAGTTTATTATGTTACTAACCCAGATTATTTAATCATTGTTTATGTAAACCGAGCTTTTGGAAACAGGCAAACCCCTGTGGAGGTGTGGGCTACTTCCTATCCATTGACCTTAAAGACTTTCAATAGGTTTTCATCACAGTTGTGGGAAGACACAATCCACATGTGATTTTCATCATTTTTGTCCATTTTACCAGATATAATTGTCCTAAAAGGAAAATTTGCCTTGAAAAAGAATCATAGACCCTTTTTACTGATAGCAGTCAGTTTGGTGCCTACTATGACCATCTGCTTGAATTATTCAACAGTTTTCATCCCTTCTGCCTTGGGTATCTGCATTTCCCAAATCTTCTCTAGGAGAGTAGGTCCGTTCTCTTTAAATGACCTTCCCACTGACCCAGACTGGCAACTAGTTTCTCCAAACCTCTAGGGTGGACGCTTCATGTCCAACTCTTTTCCTGTGGCTGAGTTCCTGCAATTAGGCCTCTATAATTTCTCAAAAAAAATTGATTATAGAGTGTGGGAGATCCCTAGTTCTTGAAAATTCTCATAGTACTTTGGTTAACGAGAAAAGAAGAATCTAGATCAAATATCTAGAAACTTCCTTTTAAAAAACATACCAGGAGGCCAGGCATTGTGGTACACACCTTTAATCCCAGCACTTGGCAGGCAGAGGCAGGCGGATCTATGTGAGTTTGAGGCCAGCCTGGTCTACATAGTGAGTTCCAGGCCAGCTGGGGCTACAGGGAGACCCTGTCTCAAAAGGACAAAAAACAAAACAAAACAAAACAAAACAAAACAAAAAACAGGGGCTGGAGAGATTGCTCAGTGCTTAGGACCACTGGCTGCTCTTGCAGAAGACCCAGGTTCGATTTCCAGCACCCACATGGTGGCTAACAACCATCCATAACTCTAGTTCCTGGGCACTCCAACGCTCTCTTCTGACCTATTTGGGCATTGCACAACACAGGTGTATGTCACATATGCAGGCAATACACTCATATACATAAAGTAAAAATAATAAATAAAACATTTGAAATAATAATGAATGAAAAATTTAAAGTATATAATATCTAAGTGAGCGATCAATGATTTTAATATGCATATATATATCATATTAACAGTAGATATTAGTTTCTCAAGTTAGTTCATCAATAAGCACACAAAACAGCCAGACTTGAAGGAATACATCAAATTCATTTCAAATCCTGAAAAAAAATTAAAGAGTTTGCGATCACTTTAAAGTCATTTATATTATCCTTTTTAAGTAGCTATTTTAGGTTTTAGGACTTCTCTGATTCTAGAAGTAATGAAATGAATGGTTTAAATTTCAGATATTTTAGGGCTATATTGTCATTTTAAATTTTATTTGATATATACATTTGATAAAAGCACAGAAAACTAAATGTTAACTCAAAATGAGTATCTTTTTTTGAAAGAAATAACTTGACGTTTCTTTTATGTTCAAATGCAGAGAAAATCTTAGAGAAGATATTCAAGATAGTTGCCAACAATATCACTGAAACAAACTTTGAATTTCTGCATCAAAAACTAAACATGACAATCTCAGAAACGAGTACTGCTGCAAAGAGGTGAGTATGAATGACATTTGGCACATATTTATTCTCATATTCTGCTTTATATGATATTGATGCCACAGTTTTGAAATAATATATTAATATAAACTCTACTGTAGAAAACTGACTTTAGCTTATTACATACTTTTGATCCTTGTTGGAAGATCATACAATGTAATAAAGAAGAAGGAAGGAGGGATGGAGAGACAACTCAGTGGTTAAGAGCTCTGGCTGTTCGGTTCAGAAGATCTTGAATAAGCACCCATAGGGTGGCTAACAACCATCTATAACTCCAGTGCTAGGGGATCTGACACCCTTTTCTGTACTCCATGAGCACTGCATGACACAGGTGCACTTAAGTACATTCAGACATAACACTCATACACATGAAATATAAATAAATAACTAAATAATAAATAATTTTTTTAAAGGATAGAAGGGCTATAAGAATAAACTCCTGGGCTTGCAATCCAGCTGGCTTTCTGACCTTGAGCAACATCCTTTTATTTTTCTGTGCTTCAGTTTCTTCAATGGTAAAATAGATAAACTAACCTAAGAAGTAGTCATGAGGATGAAGTGAGATCAAGCTGTAAAGCAAGCACTGCAGTAGCAGTTTGTATTTGTTTATAGTAAATAACCCACACTGCTTATTCTAATTCATCTCTTGAGAAATGAATGTAAATTGAAGTGTTGTCTTTTTATAAAGATAAAAGAGATAGGATGGAGCTAACTTACTTCCATTTGCCAAGCTCATGGGAAACTACATATGGACAGACTGTCTTCACTAATTAATTTTAGACTCACTTGAATCTGATAAGTGAGTTTGAAAACATTTAAGTAGTTCAAAATGATGTTCTTAATTGATAATTAAAATAATTGTTATTTAAATTTTTGCAGCAATGTTCCATTAAATGAAAGAGTCTACCAAACATTTGTTAAATGGAAAGCTGAAAAGAACTCACCATTAACTGCTGCTGCCTTAAGAGACCAGCTATTTCGGGCACTAAATATGATTGCAGCATATGACATAATGGACAAGATCACAGCTTTGAATCTTTATACAAGTGCAATTAAATTTTAACCATATTAAAAATTGAAAATGTACAATGCATTTATATAATTGAAACTGGATTTTTGAGCTATCTCATTTATTGATACAAGGAAATTAAATGTGTGTCCTGTCTCTTTTTATGCATTACTAAGATGATACCAACTTATGCCTACCATTCTAGTATTATCATATATGATAATATATGTCATTTTATGCATTACTAGCATCTATGATAATATATATCATTTTATGCATTACTAAGATGATACCAACTTATGCCTAGCATTCTAGTATTATCATATAATATATATCATATATTAACACAATATGAAACATATCTTTGCATATGTTTTTACTGTTGCCTTAGTGAAGCTATTGAATTTGAAAAGAATTCTATTAAAATTTTGTTATGTAGTACTCTTACAGTCCAAGGCTTATAGGTAATAAGGTTGCTAGTGACTTTATTTGGATTTAGAAAGCAGAGACATTTCAGGCATAATGAAAATGAGCATACCATCTCCACTTTTGTTCAGTTTATGTTATCAGGAATAGAATGGCTTCACAAAACATAAAATGGGGCTAGAACTAGCATTCTTTCAGTCCAGATGGGATTAATGGGATGGACAACTCTTATCTTCCTCTCCTGTGTTTTTTTCCTTTTCTTCTGCTACCAGAAGCTCTCTTCCACAGGGGAATGTATTACAAATATTTTAGTTGCAACTGCCCTTGACATATGTAATCCCTTTTCCCCTTTGCTGTAGCCACTAATATTAAGGTCTGAGTGACTTGTGGTGAGCTGTTTGACTCAAGCAAGGACAATGAGTTTCCTTTGGACTTTTCTGGGGACCTCTAAGGTAAGATGTACTCTTTCTGTTTGTGAGTCTAGGAGCTTTGTGGTCATCTGGCAAGTGTCACGTGGAGAGACAGAACTCTTGATTTTATTTTTTGGGCCCCAAATCCAGTCACACCCGAACCTCACTCTGCTTCTGAACTTTCCACTTTCACTCATCTAAGTTAGTGGGACTCCCCCTCCCCATGGGTTTTTATGTCTTTGAATGGAAAGAGACCAAATTTAAGCAATTAATAATATTGTAGACACAGTGCAGTTTGTTGCCTTAAAAAAAAAACTCTACAAGAGGCTGAAGAGATGGTCTAACTTAGTTAAGAGCACTGACTGCTCTTGCAGAGGACCCAGATTTGATTTTCAGCACCCAACATGGAAACTAACAACTGTCTGTAACTCCAGTTCCAGGGGAATCCAACGCCCTCTTTCTGACTCTGCAGGCATTGCATGACACAGGTGCACTTACATACAGGTATACAGTATACATACACATAAAGGTAATAAATAGCCGGGCGTGGTGGTGCACGCCTTTAGTCTCAGCACTCGGGAGGCAGAGGCAGGTGGATCTCTGTGAGTTCAAGGCCAGCCTGGTCTAAATAGTGAGTTCTAGGCCAGCTGGGGCTACAGAGAGACCCTGTCTTAAAAAGACCGAAAATAAAAAGAGTAATAAATAAAGTATTTTTAAAAACCTACATGAGAAGTAATTATAGAAATAAATTTATTGGAGGCTGGAGAGACAGCTCAGTGGTTAAGAGCACTGGCTGTTTTGCAGAGGACCCGGATTCAATTCCCAGCACCCACATGGCAGTTAACAACTATGTGTAGCTCCAGTACCAGGGCATCTGATACCCTTGACCTCCACAGGTATTGCACAACATGGGTACACCCACCAACATGTAGGCATTACACTCATACAAATAAAAATAATAACTAGAATATTTTAAAAAAGAAATTTATCGCTGGGTGTGGTGGCACACCCCTTTAATCGCAACACTTGGGAGGCAGAGGCAGGCAGATCTCTGTGAGTTCAAGGCCAGCCTGGTCTACAAAGCAAGTTCCAGGCCAGCTGGGGCTACAGAGAGACTCTGTCTCAAAAAGACCA